TGTGTTGATCTTCCTCAGAGTGTGAGCAGATGTAACCTCCCTGTGTTCACTGACAGGCTAGGAAATGTGTAACTCATTAACAAGACACAATTAGACTCACACAGACACAACAAGCTCATCCCAGTAAACAAACTGTACAGATATAAACAAACAACAACGTTTGTAGACAGTAAACAATAGTGCAAAGGATTCTGGGATAATAGGTCAAATATATATATTATTATTATTATATACATGAGGTTAGTAGATATGGCAGTATAATGTATATATGTGTTATGAATTATGTTTTAAAAATAATCATTGAGAAATATTTTTACAATGGTAAAATAAATAATATAAAATAATGTATTTTTTATTATATTTATGTTGAATATATATAGACATTTGCATTAAAATGTATATATGTGTGTCTTTCATGTCATTATGTTTTAATTATTTATTTTTCAATGTTTTTCTCTGCTGGACGCTGATTGGCTGTTCCTGTGACAGCGGAGGCGGGTTATACGTCAGAGGTATTCTTGGCTTTAACTGATTGGCTGCGTCAGCTGTCAGTCAGCGGCTCGGGAGGGCGGAGCCGAGCGGCTTTAAACCGCAGGGCTTTTCTGATTGGTCGGTCTGCGGGATGTGGGCGGGGCTATGAGGAAACCTGTGGATTCAGTCGAGAGAAACTGCGTCAAGATAACGGAAGTGACCGGATATCGGTGATATGGATTTCAAAACAAAAGCGTCCAACTGAGCAGCTGTTATATGTATAATAATTACTCAAATTATTTAAAAGAATAAACACAAAGTCAAAAACAAATAAAAAGAATAATAAAGATCATTATTATGTGAGGAATAGTTTTATTATTATAGGTGTCCTAATGAATGTGCACCTTAAATATAATGCTTAGAAATAAAATTGTATTACTTTATACTACAATGCTTAAAAAGATATATTTATATTGTATTATTATATATTATTTATAGAACTGACTCATTGTTTATGTGAAATATTTGAATTTGTATCATTTTAATAAGTAAAACGTATTTTTTATTCAACTTAAAGGCCTGTGATTAATTATAAAATAATCAAATGAAAAGAGAACAAGCTCATTATTGACCTTCTGAAACAAGAAGCTGCTGTTCATCTTCACACGATCTTCCTCAGCAGACTGCACTTAAAGGACACATATTCTGTAATATATGAAAATAACAAATAAACAAAAGCATTGGCCTGAAATTAGGAGTGCGGACTTTATTTTGACGTTGAGAGCACCGGAAGCTGTAGTGTATTGCTGTGGGTGTCATTAACAGCTGAAACTCATTAATCTCTTCACATTTTACACTCTACGTGTATTTATTGCATTGCATGCATATAAGCGGCCGTGCTAACGTTTATTGATTTATTGATTATTGATTGCATTATCAGTTTTGGTTCCCAGTGTCTCCGCCTGAGTTTGGCTCCGCCCACACATTCCTGTGCGTCTGGGGC